GCTATTCTGCCCGAATCAGTTTTCTAAAGCGTTTTTGAAAAATTGCTTACCTCACCTTTAAATGCCTACTGATTATATATTTTAGTCCATCTTTTTTAGTGTTTTTGTAAGAAGTCTCTTATGCTCACAAAGGCTGCATTTATTTGATCAAAAATACAGTAAAAATAGTAATATTGTAGGAAACAGCAAAACCGAATCAGTCTTCAGTGTCACACGAACCTTCAGAAATCATTCTAATACATTGATTTGCTGCTCAAGAAACATTTCTTATTATTACCAATGTTGTAAACAGCTGATTAATATTTTTGTGGAACCCAGAATGGAAAGTTCAAATGAACAGTATTTATTTGAAATAGAAATCTTATAAATATATTTACTGTCCACTTCTGATCAATTTAATGCATCTTTGCCAAATAAATATGTTAATTTATTAAAAAAAAATAAAAATAGTAGTGTATTCCTCAAAAAAATGCACATAAATTTAAATTTAGCTCGGCAAACTGAATAGGATTGTAAGCGATTCTCAACTCAGTTCTCAATAACATACAACCAGTGTTTTTCCTCATCACATTCAAATCAGTCTCTCACACAATATAATTCTCTTGCAGTTGCGCTGTAGAGTGCCATCACAGAATAACAGTGCAGTAAACACTGACACACACGACTGCATACTAACATACCCACACACACACGGCTGTAAATTTAAGCAGCTTTATAACTGTCAGACGCAATACTGTTCACCTGCTTCTCTTCCATAAGAAACCTCCCAGTTACTGCCCAACAAATTACACTGCCAATTACAAGCCCATTCACACACACACACACACACACACAGTTCCTTCCTTCAGCCTGCTATGATACTCAACCTATTCACACATCATTCTATAGATGTTGTTCTAGCAAAAACATTTTAATCTTATTGAGGTTTCTGAAAGATTCCTTCTTAAAGCAACTTTAAAAAAGGTCAAGCGTTTTACAGCTCTTCCTACCATCTTACACTATTCCTCACCTCTCCCTCTGAGTGGTGATGTCAGGATAATCCCTGACTGGTGGAATTCAGTTTGAGTGACAGATTGATGCAGTGTTTTCACAGCACAAGAGAGGTCAGTGGAGGTAATGAGGCCATCAAAATGCAGAAACAGAGAGACTTAAACAGGAAGAGTTGGTTGGAGTGAAGCTGGGGTGGTTTTTTCTTGCTCTTTCTAAAGAGGGAAAAAAGACAGTTTGCCCCAAAATTAAAATCTTCCTTCCTGCTATCACTCTTAAATTAAATTCTGCCAGGCATCAACGATGTGTAGTCATGAAGCATGTGAGAACCAACGATGTTTGATGATGTCATTGGTGTCACTGGCTTCATTGACGCTATTACTTGTTTTAAAGGCTACAGCAGAGGTCTAAATGTTCAGTGAAAAACAACTTTACAATCCTTTTACTGTGATTTTTTGTTCTTTTAGCAAAATGCAAGTGAACATACAGACAAATTTCACCAAACCTGTCAAAAACATTTCCTGGTTATTATTCACCGGTGTAAATCTGCTGAGGTTTCTCTGACCCATCTCTTTTGGAAATGCACTACTAAAATTATTAAAATTGACTAAATTACTAAAATGTAGAGTGGGGGAAATATTTATTTGATCCCCTGCTGATTTTGTAAGTTTGCCCACTTACAAAGAAATGAAGGGTCTGTAATTTTTATGGTAGGTTTATTTTAACAGATAGAGACAGAATATCAACCAAAAAAATCCAGAAAAAACACATTATATAAAGGTTAGAAATTTATTTGAATTTCAGTGAGTGACATAAGTATTTGAACCCCTACCAACCAGCAAGAATTCTGGCTCCCACAAACTGGTTATGTGCCCATGTGGAACACAGATTTGCCTGTCACTTTGGGGCTGTTTACACCTGGTCACTTCGTGCGTTTTGTCTGATCGGATAGCTATCCGATCGTGAAAAGATCAGGTGTAAATGCCCTCCGAAACGCATTCGAGATGGATATAAATCCGATTGCTCAAACCACTTCAGGAGATGGTCTGGGCTGCATTCCAGACGAAACTGGACAAGTGTAAATGCATCTGGTTTTTGAAACCCATATGTAAATTTTTACTCCTCCCAAAATGTTAAAATAATAAACGTGTGAGAGCGTGTTATAGGCTATATGACATTATAGTCAGATATGACTGCGCTAATGAAACGCGCATCGCCATGGACGAGTAGCTGAGTATCTCTTCAGCAAGCCGAATGAAACAAACTGCCGCGAATTAAACAAAGATGCAGACGGTCAACACACAATCATCTTCATTAAAAGTAGTAAGACAAACTTATCTTTCCAGGGCTGATGCCGCACGCTCTCCTATTGCGGTCTTTGACGTTGAAATGAGCTGATAATTAATAAAATGCAGCGCTTATCTTTTGATTTCGTTGACGTGAACTTAAATTTAAATATAGTGCGGGAATTGAAGATCGGATTTAAATCCGTTTTGCAACAACATATTTCTGTCGCCAAGTGTAAATTGAAACGTTTTAACAAATCAGGATGATATCCGATCAGCGAAAACGCATGAAATGACCAGGTGTAAACAGGCCCCTAATGTCAGCTCGTTAAGTGTATAAGACACCTGTCCACACAATCTGTATCTTCCATTCCAACCTCTCCCACCACCATGGGCAAGACCAAAGAGCTGTCAAAGGATGTCAGAGACAAGATTGTAGGTCTGTACAAGGCTGGAATGGGCTACAAGACCATCAGCAAGAAGCTTGGTGAGAAGGAGACAATTGTTGGTGGGATTATTCGGAAATGGAAGAAATACAAAACAACCAACAATCGGCCTTGGTCTGGAGCTCCGTGCAAGATCTTGCCTCATGAGGTAAGAATGATCATGAGAAAGGTGAGGGATCAGCCCAGAACTACACGGGAGGAGCTTGTTAATGATCTTAAGGCAGTTGGGACCACAGTAGTGCTGTGGTCAGATGATACCAAAATTGAGCTCTTTGGCATTAACTCGACTCGCCGTGTTTGGAGGGAGAGAAATGCTGACTATGACCCCAAGAACACTGTTGGGCTGTTTTTCTGCTAAGGGTACAAGATGACTTCACCGCATTGAGGGGCAAATGGGCGAGGCCATGTACTGTAAAATCTTGGACGAGAACCTCCTTCCCTCAGCCAGAACACTGAAGATGGGTCATGGATAAGTCTTCAAGGATTACAATGACCCAAAACATACTGCCAAGGCAACAAAGGAGTGGCTCAAGAAGAAGCACATTAAGGTCATGGAGGGGCCTAGCCAGTCTGCAGACCTCAATGCTATAGAAAATCTGTGGAGGGATCTGAAACTTCGAGTTGCCAAACGACAGAATCCCAAATCAAAATCCCTCCTGAGATGTGTGCAAACCTGGTGACCAACTACAAGAAAAGTAGGGTTTCTGCACTAAGTACTAAGTCATATTTTGCTTGGGGATCAAATACTTATTTCATTCACTGAAATGCAAATCAATTTCTAACCTTTATATAATGTGTTTTCGTGGGCAAACTAACAAAATCAGCAGGGGATCAAATAAATATTTTCCCCACTGTATGGTTGTGTGTTTAAATCTGATAAAGAGACTACATTATTTGGATATTCTGTTTCTCTGTTGGACCATAACGATCATGGTAAAATGTGTTGCATGGTGTTTATTTATGCTGATTAAATATAATAGTATTTTTTTCTGTAAGACACTAATGAAAATCACCATGTAGAATAATGGGAATTACAAATAAATTAAATGCATTGTAAAATATTCATAAAACATGGTAAAATGTGTTGTACAGTGTGTATTTATACTGATTAAATAAAAAAAAAACATCTGTAAATATACTAATGAAAATCACCATTTAAAAAAATGGTTAAAAAAAAATAAATAAATAAATAATATATATATAATTACAAAAAAGTGTGGTGAAATATGACCTGGACATGTTTCAAAAGAAATTATACAAGCTTCCACTTAAAAGATTATTTAGTGATCCTAAAAGGTAAGAGACAGTCAGAGAGACTCTACATTGAACAATTCAAATCTCTTTGAGTTTTCCACAGGTCTGATGAAGAGCGAGAATTATGGGTAAGTGGCCAAACATGTCAGTCCTCCTCTGTCCTCCTAAGTGCAGACAGCTTAATCATCAAGCCTCAGTAAACAACATCAGCTAAATACAGCTCTCTCGCTCACTCTCACCCTACTTTTATTTACTCAGAATGACAGATTGAAAAGAGAAAAAAAAACTGTGGCTTTGAAGATTTGCTGTGGGGAGGAGTGTGGGATGTATATAGACACACAATATAAAAACATCAGCTGAGGTGTGTGTGTGCTGCAGAGAGAGAGAGAGAGAGAGAGAGAGAAATGTCTACTTTACTCTACCAAATTACCTCATGTCAGGGATTAGAAGGGGATGGGCCAGACGGATGATGGGAAAAGGAGTGAGGGATAAGTTGAAGTTGGAAGAGTGTTGATTGACAGAGCAGGAGAGTGAGAGAAGGGGAAGTCTGTTGATCTTAGTTGGGGGTGACGAATATGATGGAAAAAAAAGATATATAGAAATAAAGAAAATTCAAAAACATTCTCCACATTCCAAACATATTTGGAATTCAAACTTTGAATGAGTCTTATCATAAGACATCATGAAACCTTTCAAATCATTGGTGAACATTGTTTTAAGAAAAAAAAAGTTTAACTTAAAAATGAATTAAAATAAAACAACAAAATACAATATTTATTGTAAAATATATAAAATGTTTTAAAATAAAAAATAAATATTTAAAATAAATGCACTAATTAAAAACGAAATAAATCCAAATAAAACAACTTAAAAAAATTAAATAACATATAAAAATAAAATAAAATGTCTCACCCAACATATTTCCATATCAAACAGGATATTACATTAATAAATCACATTATAGGAGCAAAATAGGATGTGAATGCCACTGCAGGTTGATTTTGAGAAGTGAAGTGTTGTACATTACCTCTGGTATTTGAACAGCATAGGGCTGGTTGAAAAAGGATGGCGCATTGTCATTAACATCTCCGATCTGAATGTTCACTGTATCCTTGACGACCTAAAAACCAATTAAATCAAATAACACATAAAATTAAATAATAAATAACATTCTATTAACTCTACATTGGATTTCATAGATTAAAAAACAAAAAAACAATTCAAGTTAGTCTACAGTAATTGACACTATAAAAGAAAAGTTCATCAAGACTTGCAGTCAGTAAAAGTCTCTTGTGCTCACCAAGGCTTCATTTATTTGATCCAAAATACAGTAAAAACAGCAATACTGTGAAATATTATTAGCATTTAAAAAATTTGATTTGAAAATATTTTAAAATGTAATTTATTCCTGTAATGCAAAGCTGAATTTAGCTATTACTTCAGTCTTCAGTGTCACATGATTCTTCAGAAATCATTCTAATATGCTGATATGGTGCTCAGGAAACATTTCTTAATATTATGAGTGCTGGAAACAGTTAAGTGCTGCTTAATATCTTTGTGGAAATTGTGATACCTTTATTATTATTTTTATGGGGGGGGTTTGTAATTAATAAATTTTTTTAGGAAAGTTCAAAAGAGCAGCATTTATTTAAAAAATATTTGTTGTAATTATTATCAATGTTGAAAACAGTTGTGCTGCTTAATATTTTTGTGGAAACTGAAATTTTGTTTCAAGATTGTTTGACGAATAGAAAGTTTAAAAGAACAGCAGTTATTTTAAATATTTTGTAACATTATAAATATCTTTACTGCCCACCTCTGATCAATTTAATGCATCCTTGCTGAATTTAAGCATTCATTTCTTTAAAAAAAATGTTTTGTACAAACCTCAAAATTTTGAACGGTAGTGGAAAGTAAAAAGCAAAGGTTGCACAGACCTTAGAGACAGATGGGTGGGAAAAATGGATAGATCGATGATCTCTAACTCACCCCTTGACTGTCACTGACTGAGAACTCCACCTGCATCTCTGACTTGGTCTGAAGACACAAAAACACGAACAGACAAACAAACAGCAGCATTACATCACTAGCGTCAGTTCCAGCTTGACAGTCATTCAATTCATTCACCATTTGATCATGGTTTCCGCACCTCCCTGTCAAGCGGCTGTCTCAGCCACACTACCCCAGTCGTCTCCTGCACAGCGAAGTACCGCATGGCCTCTTCCCCGACCACACCGAAAATCAACGGCTCACCGTCCGGATCGACCGCCTGCAGCTGGAGCCTAGTGAACCAAACTGAGAGACCATTATGAAAGCTCAGGAAACCTTTGCAGGTGTTTTGAGTTGATTAGCTGATATGTTTTTATGTTTTTAACAGATGCAGGTCCGAGCTGTAATGGCGCAGCTCTATTCAGGAAAAGGGGGCGGGGAGCAGCAGCTCATTTGCATTTAAAGAGACAGGCCCGAAAAACAGCGTGTTTCTGCTTCTACTCAAAATAGGCATTTTCAAAATGATATAATAAATGATCTGTAGAGTATTTTGAGCTGAAACTTCACAGACACATTCTGGGGACACCAGAGACTTATATTACATATTGTAAAAAGGGGCATAATATGTCTCCTTTAATATGTACTTTTGTCTTGTTTTCTAGTAAGAAATACACCCTTTAAACTAGATAAATTTACTTGAGAAGCAACAACATTTGCCAACTGAGTAATATAATTTAAGATACAGTTATACAACTGGATACAAACATTGCAAGTGGATATGACCTAATTAAGGGATGTTGGCAAACATGAAACACATTTACACATATTAAGTAAACTAAACAGCCCAGCTTATGTATAAATATATCCAACAGCACAGGAGGCCACAAAGGATAAGTCACAGTTAGAGGTGAAGTGTGTAATTTTTCTGATACTTTTAAAATATCCCAGTTTAATATGCAGAGACAGCTATAAGCTATTCGCAGGTTGGCAAGAGTGTAAACTCTGTGACTTGTGTTTTGTTTTTAAGTGGCATGTCGACTTCTGCCGGAACCAGTGATGTGAGTTTGGGAACAATGGTTGACAGGATTTTGAAAGCTAAAATTTAGGCTGGAATATACAGCGTTTACACTGGGCATACACTAAACATCTCCGGATCACTCACTACCAAACTTATTCAAATATTTTTTAATTATTCTTAACAATTTTAGCCATACTTTCTGCTATTAAATCAATTACAATTATGTTAAATAAATACAAAAAAAAAATATTGGATTTATATTTATCATAAATTATACTTCTAAAGGCATTATCCGCAAATAATTTGTTCAAAAATAAAAAGTACCTCAGAAGGCAACATAATCACCCTACTTAGTATTCAGAAGAGTCATTAGCATTAGAAGATTGAGATTGAGAGATTAGAGATTGTATGTTGGTACGTAATGAGAGTGTGTACATGTGTTTATATGCGAGTGTGTGTGTAAAGTAGAGGCCAAGTTTCAAGTCAGTCCAAACACAACAAACTCACAGCAGATGCATGACAAATGAGAACAATATGCAGTCTAAAACTGGCTTAAAAAAAATGAATCATGTTTGATTTCCTCTGGCTAAACGGAATTATAGTTTGTAGCTAAAAAATTGGAATTTGTGCTTATCAAACAATATTTGCCAATTTGGTAGTGTAATTTAAGATACAGCTAAGTGGATACAAACATTGCAAGTGGAATTGACCTCAGGGACATTGGTAAATATGAGAGATTTATGCATATAAAGTTTATATGCATATAAACTTGTGCAAATTGGGCCAAAAATCTAGGCAGATATAATGCATTTCAGCCTTTAAATTGCAAAGGTAAATTGGACATTCCCAAAATATCTCACATTGTGGAAAGAACTGCTCCTTTAAGTAAGACTTCCTCCAGATATTTTTTATTTAATGCAAAGTTCTGACCTTGAGAAGCAGTTATTTTAATATTTCATTCTTTTTTCATCTCTCATTAATCAAAATCTAAACAAAATAACCCTTTTAAATTAGGGTTTTCACCCTTTGTTCTCTCATTCCTTCTTTTGAACAGTCTCAATATGCCAAAACCTGCTACAATATAGTCAAACTAACAAAGACATCCTCTGAGCTCTTTATACATCACACACATGGAAGTCTGTGTGTTTCTGGTAACAGGTGTGTGTTTATGAAGACACCTGGTGAGGGGGTCCCTGACTCATTGCAGCTTTAGTTCTGCTGACGGTGCCAGACGCCTAATGCTGCAAATCCTACATTAATGAGAAAGACCAACAAACAGATCAGACTCAATCCCTTCCACAGCCATAAACACACACACAGACTCATATTCAGACTCATGCATACAAAAGCACTCACATACTGTACATATGCTGCTAGCAACACCAAGGCTTTGGGTTCAGTTCCCAAGGACGAAAAGTATACTTTGGATAACAACCTCTGCCAAATGCTCGAATGTATGCATAAATAAATGAAATATCCCATAGCAATCAATACACACATTTATGATATATCGGGTCAATATATACAACCTCTTTCATATCTAGTCACATCCAGCAACTTCAAAGGTCAATAAGGTAAACCACATGCACATACACATTTATTAATACACAATGCTGTATGAAAGGGAGGTGAAAACACCTCTAATTAATGGGAGGATTTATGAACTGCGCTCTCTGTTTATAATGAGATTTATGCTAATTCTGCTGCTTTCAGTGTGAATTATAATTTGGTTGAAGACGGTGCAAATTAAGCGTTTTACATTACACTCATTAATAATAAAGACTTCCCCCTCTCTTTTCTCCTGTTTTTAGAGATGGAGGAATCCATCGTGTGTAGTCAGGAGGGGGAATGCTGGGTAACAAATGGCTGTTCTGGGTCAGTGATGTGTGTCTGAACACAAAGGGATTATGGGACATGTTCAGAGGAAACTAAAATGTGTGTAAATGTCAGCTCTGCTTCAGAACCTAATGAGCTGCCTCACCAAATGATTTCAGCAGCATATACTGTGTGTATGTATATATATATATAAACTCTCTTATTATAACTATAATAAGCACAAAAACACATAACATTTCATTTCTTTTATTTTGGAAATTATTCTGACATTTTTTAACCATACTTTTATTACATGAATTATCTAAAACAGTAAATAATACTTCATAAATATAATTTTTATAAATTATTACAAATATATTTTATTTATATTTCTAATGATTATTAATTATATTTCTAAACAGTTTTGACTTCGTCCTCCATCTTTGATGTATGTTTTCCTCTTGTGCAAATGCATAATGGGATTGTGTTATATGCAACAAAACACTGTAAACAGAAAATACATAATACAAATAAATATTTGTAAAAAATTATTCAAAAATATTTTAATCATACTTTTTGGTATTAAATGAATTATAATAAATGAAATATAATACAAGCAAATTATATTAAATAAATATGATTATAAATTATCACAAATATTTGTTATTTTATTTACATTTTTAATAATTCTAAATTATATTTATAAACATTTCTCAATTCGCCCAGATGGATTTTTTCACTTGTTGCATTATGGGATTGTATAATCTGCAATCCTAAGCACCAAAATACATAATACAAATAAACATTTATATTATTCTAAATAATTTAAACCATATTTGTTGGTATTAAATGTTGCATATTTATAATATGTTTTAAACATTTGATATAATTGATTATGTTATATTTATATTTAAATTATATTTAATTTAAATTATATTTCTCACTTTGTTCCTGTCTTTGATGGATTATTGATTATCAGTTGTCACAAATGAATATAATATATATAAAATATAATATTATAATATAACCTGAAAACAGTTCCTCAGAAAGCAAAAAGGAAAAAAGTTCCTCAGTAGGCAACATAAGCATGCTGCTTAGCATTTACAGTTGTCCCATCAGAAGCACACTATGAAGGCAGCTCACTAGGTATTGAAATAGAGTAACGTGTTTATATGCAAGTATGTGTAAAGCAGTGACACTCACGTTCTCTCTGTTTCTCTCTGGCTCGAGCTGATAGATGACGCTATTTAGGCCACAGTGAGCCCAGTGTTATGCTTATGACTGATACACTGCACATTAACACACCACACAGCCGAGAAGAACTGACAAGAGCAATGTGCCTGCGGGCTCATCTCTCTCTCTCTCTCTCAAAACTAGACCCTTATTTATTCCTTCTATGAGCCAGATTTGTATACAGGATCCATCTAATTCAGTACGGGAATGTTGAGTTGACCCCACCCCCCTTACGCAATTTATTAACAAGTAATAAGTAATTTTCTTGTAATAATTATTTTATGTATTATTTTACTTATGCATTCCTATTTTCGTACATACATTTTTCTTAATTTATTTAAGCTGTTATTAATATATTGTTGTGTATTTTGTGGTGTTCCTGTAGATAGTTTTACAAAATTTAATAAAATTTAAATTAAAAAATGTTGGAATATTGATTTACCTGTATGACTTTAAATCAGGATGGCAAAACAGCATTTGTACAGACCAGAAACAGGAGTTTAAATTGATTAGTTAAGCCATTTATCATGGACTCTCTCTCTCTCTCTCTCTCTCTCTCGCTCTGTTGCAGTCACATGCCCGTCTCAGCAAGTGTGTAGAATGTTTTATTTCAGTGAATGTAACTCATCTTGATGGCACAACACTGTCCGGACAACACAAATGGAAACTCCCGGACAAAACAACATTAAATCTGACTGCCACAGGTGATTAGAATGACGCACAAACAGAATGTCTTAATGTCATCTCAGACCTGTACACTTCCTTTCACAGAACACAAAAAGCAAGATGTTCAGCAGAATGTGCAAGCTGCTCTTCTCCATAACACAGAAGCAGATATCAGCCAAAGACTGCCAAGCTCCAAAAATAACAAAAAAGCACCATAAAAGTAGTACATATGACTCATGAGCTATATTTCGAGTCTTCTGATGCCACATGATAGCTTTGTGTGAGGAACGTCATTCAGTGATAATCGTTATGGTTTCAGAAGACTTGGAATACAGTGCATGAGTCATATGGACTACTTATGATACTGAATAACTATTTATAATCTGAAGCCAATATACACAAAAAAAAAAGATTTCGGTAAAAACAGTAATTTTGTGAAATATTATTATTTTAATATATTTTAAAATGTCATTTATTCCTGTGAAGCAAAGCTAAATTTTCAGCATCATTACTCCAGTCTTCAGTGTCCCTTCAGAAATCATTCTAATATGCTGATTTGCT